AGCCATGTTAAGGGGGTGTGGACTCCATCCATTCACCTCATGGAAGTGAACACTAGTGTGTTCAGCATCATGGGAACAAAATGACCCCCAAATCGAGGTCTTGATATGACATTTACCACAAAAGGACATGGAGGGGTGGGGGGTGGGGGTGAAAATAAAACACCAATAAGCAGCCTGATGTTTTTTCCCAGTGCTAACATTGCCTGTACCGAGCCTCTCCCAGAGAGATGGGTAGACGACAGGAGTGAATCAGCTTCCCCCATTCTCGAGGCACAGTCTGCTATTTAGCTGGAGGCAGCTACTGTGAAAAGCAACTGTGGAAGAGACATGAAGTGTCAGGGTTTCCTCCCTGGCAGGGCGGCTGGGTCGCTGCACGAGGCACCCCCACCATGCAGCGTGCTGGGAGTATATAGGGTATTTCGTCAATTTAGCAAACTGCGTTACCCGAACATAATGGAATATGAGATAGCTAATAAGAGTCTGTGTGAAAATGTTGATTAACATGGATATGGTATCTCAAATAATGTAAGTTACAAAAGCAACAACCTAGAACTCAAAAAAGCACAAACATACTGATTATAGCTCCATAAAACATATGTTCACTTTTAAATACCTAAAGAGTGCTTGGAGTAAACTAAATAGACTTTATGAGCTTGGAAGCCTTAATTCATAATTAATTTAAAAGCATTTCTGCAGAATGGTCTTCTCTGGGCAAAGGAGGAATGCATTTTCAGGAATTGAAATCTGCTCATCCCAGGTCGGTTGGATGTGGATAGTGGTTGAGGGAAGGCAGGAAGGCAGGAAAGCAGGAAAGAAGGCAGGCAGGCAGGCAGGCAGGCAGGAAGGCAGGAAGGCAGAAAGGCAGGAAGGCAGGAAGGCAGGAAGACAGGAAGGCAGAAAGGCAGGAAGGCAGGAAGGCAGGAAGACAGGAAGGCAGAAAGGCAGGCAGGCAGGAAGGCAGGAAGGCAGGAAGGCAGGAAGACAGGAAGGCAGAAAGGTAGGCAGGCAGGCAGGCAGGCAGGCAGGAAGGCAGGACGGAAGGACGGAAGGACGGAAGGACGGAAGGAGGGAAGGAAGGGCCAGTTCTTGGGTTTCACTGCCTGGGGATATCAAAGCTCAGAGTGACCGCCTTGCAGTTTTGCTAGCCTAGAAACTTTCTGAACCCAGAGTGACTTTGGACAGATCGATGTCCCCTGTCACTTAATAACTGTACATTTATTAAGGACTTGCTGTTAATTCTTTGGTTAAAATATGGTGTGCAGCCCTGTGCTCAGAGCTATAGAGGGAGCCACAGCAGTGAGGACGGGATCTCTGTCTTCAGTACACTCTCCATGTCATTAGAGAGACAACTACAACACATTAAGCAACTGGAAAAATACATAGTGAAGTACAAGACGGGCAATTGCCAAGAAAAATAAAAGTGTACTCTAATTGAAAAGAGAGAGGAATTAATGAATGCTAGAGCAACCAAGGAAGGCTCCTGGGAGGAGGTGACAATTATGCTGGGTCTTAAAGTATGACTATGATTTGGATGATCACATTTTTTAAAAGGCACAGACAGCCCATCCCCCAGGCCTTCTGGACTTTGCTCAAAGGACACGTGACCTTTGGTGGAGCTCCAAGCGCCAGAAGAGGAGCTGGGTAGTCCTGGACCCCTCAGGTGAAACAGACTCAGGGTGTCCACGACCAGTTCTGGGAGTCCAAATCATTGCTGTGTCCAAATTGTTTTTGGAATAAAACCCCTGAGACGTAAATCATGGCACAGCCCAGGTAAATTAAATGCTTGAATGTCACAGATGTTTGTTTAAAGAAAACAACTTTACGTTCATCTTTCCTGAGGTGGGCCCTCTGCTCTGTTGATCGGAGTTGGATTGTGTCAGAGGACACTTGGGAGTAATGCACTGTTGAGTGGCCTGTAACTTCCTGGCAGGGCTGTGAGAGCCAGAGGGCCTGGGGGAGTCTTCAGCACTGTGACAGCCCCTTCCCAGCGACCTTATGGTCCTTGGACTCCTGTGACCAGAAACGCAGTCCCTAGAAACTCTACCTTTAGAAACCACTAGGCTGCCTTTTAAAAAATGTGGCCAACCAAATCATAGTCATTTCCCCTGCTCTTAACCTCCCCTGGTACTGAATGGGTGATTCCTTCCTGGAGACTGTCCCTCCAGAAGCGCTCACCCGGAGCCGCTGAGATCCCCTGGCTGCCCAGTCACAGCTCACTGTCTGCCCACCTGCATATCTTCCCTGCCCTGTCTGCAAACCGCAGGGGCTGGAAGGGCTATGTGAGGGTCCCCCTACTTTTGAGCTCTTGTGGTGGGCCATCTCAGGGTTTAACTGACACCTTGGCACTGGAGGCAGGAAATGAGGGTTAGAGGCAAGCCTGGGCGCTCGGTAGTTTGCTGGCTGCAAGCTCTTACAACACCGGCAGCTTAGCTCAGAGTAGCTGCGGCTGCCTGGGGTTTCCCAGGGTCCAGACAGCACCGCAACTCCCAAGGCCTTCAGCTTCCTTCTTCCTCCAGGCTTGGGAAACCACAGGGCTGCGGGTGGAGGTGGGGGGCCAATTCTCCACAGCTCACATGGCTCTGGGGGGGCACGGCAGTGCTGCCCAGTGGTTAGGCACGGCCACTGCATCCAGGTCTGTGCTCAGCTGCCTCCTGGCTGTGGGCAGGTTACTCCAACCCTCTGTGCCTTGTTTTCTCCTGGGATAATAATGTCATCTTGCTCACAGGACCGTCATGAGGGCCAGTTGAAATAAGGATTGTGTGCCTGATACAAAGCAAGTGTTTAATATGGCAAATATCTGAAATGCTCTGGAGACAAATAAGTGGAAACTTCTGCGTGGGGCTGTTTGGGCTGTAAGAACCCCAGTTTGATTTTTTCACACTCTGATTTTCTTTGTAGTAGGTGTGAGAGGGCCATCTCTTACCCAGAGAGCCTGTTTGAACTGCTAGTCATTCGGAGACTGTTAGGCCATGCACTAAATGGACACTCAACGTCTCTATCTAGCCCGGATATGGTTTCAGCCCCACCAGCCGTGGCTTCTCCATGTCCTTCAGCTAATCCTGGTGCAGACCATGTGGAGCTTGGTTGGTTCATGCAGATAGAAGAGCATCCCCAGGGTACAGTGTATTTTATCATCACCCGCACACTGGCTGTGATATCTTGCAAAGGTGCTGATTTTCTAGGAATAGAAGCCACGTGGGTGGCCCTCCCTGAAATGCATAGGTACAAAATTAAAAGCAGTGCCCTGGCCGGTTTGGCTCAGCAGTTGGGATGTTGGCCTGCAGACCAGAGAGTCCTGGGTTTGGTTCCCACTAGGGGCACGTACCAAAATCAAACAAACAAACAAACAAAAAAACCCAAAATTAAAAGCAGCTTATGTTCTGAGATTGGGCATCTAGAGAAAAACATACACGACTGTGCAGCTGATCATGACTCAGTTCAGAGGAAACAGAAAAGGGAGCTACATAGTTTCACTATTACTACTTTCACTATTATAGCTTCATGTTCAGGGAAACTAGAGAGCCAGAGCTTCAGAGACCTGCTGAGCTCATTTTTGCAGAAGAGAAAACTGAGGTTGTGAGGAATGAAATGACCTGTACAGGCTCACAATTTGCAGCAAAATCTTGATTAGAGTCCAGAGTTTCCCCAGCTCCTGGACTAAAATCTACTCTTACTTAAAATTTTGTCCCAAATATTACACATGTTCCTAAGATGTTTATTTAGGTTTGTTAATTTGAAGTGACAGCCAGTCAGAACTTTTGTCCCCAGTGATTTTTCCCCCCAGAAAAATGTTATAGAATATCATCAGCACCACCAGTGGCTGAAGCCAGAAAACTCTGAGTTATACTTGATCTGCCCACTTCTGTCCCAGCCCTGGCAATGTCTAAGCTGTTGAGGGGGCCTGTTTCCTCCACTTCCAATAGACATCTCACATCCTTTACCTCCTGTTCTGTTCCAAGTCCCACCATCTCTGTCTGCACCCACATAAAACTTCCCTTCCACTCTACACACGGGGGCCACAATGGTCTTCTTTTTGGGTTTTTGTTTTTTAAATTTTTTTCCTTTTTTGATTTGAGAGAGAGAGGAAGGAAGAGGGAGAGAGAGATAGAAACATCAATTCGAGAGAGCATCAATTGGCCGCTTCCTGCATGCCCCACTGGGGATTCGGCCCACGACCTGGGCATGTGCCCTGACTGGGAATTGAACTGGTGACCTCTTAGTGCATGGGTCAACGCTCAACCACTGAGCCACACCAGCCAGGCTCATTTTTTCTTTTTAACTTTTGTTTTGAAATAATTATTGATTCATAGGAAGTTACAAAAAGCAATGTACAGGGAGATTCCATGTCCCTATCACCCAGTCTCTCCCAACAGTGACATATCAAAGCAGGGAGTAGACACAGATGCACAGAGTTGATTATACCTGTTTTACGTGTGTGTGTGTGTGTGTGTGTGTGTGTGTGTGTGTGCAACCATATGGCATATGTAGTTTTGTGTAGCCAGCACCACAAGTAAGAGAATGCCATTCGAAAGCCGTAGTCCAGCCCTGTTATCTCCCTGCTGGAATGTTTCAGGGGCCCATCCTACTAGAACACAGTCCAGCTCCCAACTGTTGTGGAGCGAGAGAACCAAGAGACCACCAGAGCCAAATTAAAGCCAAATAGAGAGCAAAGCTGGCCGGCGACTGATCCCCAGTTCTTGGAGATCAGCCCCAACTGTCGGCTGATTTTTTATTTTATAGGGGGTTTGTTACAAATTTCTGCAGCTGGCATTTCTTGTTGGCCTGGGGAAAGAGCAAGCAAGTACAGAAGCAGAGGCAGTTAGCCATAAGCAGAGGGAACGGAGGTGGGAGGGAGCTGAGGCGAAAGGGAACTGGGTGAACTGGGCCAGCATCCATCTATCCTGCTATTCATTCTATCATCTAAGTTCTAAAAACTAACGAATTCGCTTAGAGGACACATTCATTTAGAGGAGCATCAGACCAGGTGGTACTTCCTCAGGTTGCTTCAGACCAGGGTGTTCTCGCCCTACCTCCACGAGCCCCAGAGCCTCTGAGCCTCCTGCTGCTTCAGTGCGGTTGGTTTGTTCTTAGCTGTTTCCTGGCCGCTCACTCTCCTCCCGGTCTCGCCGCCCCAGCTGAGCAGGTGTCCTCTGTCACAGCAGCCTGGTCTTCGCCCAGTAGCACTTCTCATGATCCACCCTGTTTCTTTATTCCTCGGGGATATAAAAACCATGAGGGCAGCTGCTTTGTCAACAGCTACCCCTCAGAAGTGACCGTGGGGCCCGGCAGCCTGTAAACATGTCAAATGATGATTGCGACATCAACGTCCGAATGCCCAGAACCAGCCCGGGCAACTCGGGGGCTGGGTTTATTTGCTGTGATAGGACCGTGGAACTGCATATGTAGACAAAGGGCTCATGTTTTAAAAAGGATAACTGCCTCATGCTGAATATAAATAGTAGTCTAAGAATGAAAGGGTTCACATTTTTGTAACGTAATGTTTTTTAAAGTCTCTATCCAATAATTTTTGACTTTGTATTCTCTGTCAAACCCCGCTTTTGGTCAGTGCTTAGGAACCTCCTGTTTCTTTTTCTGCATTACATTTTGTGCCCTTAAGGAGAGTATGCAAGTGGGCACACTCAGGCTTCCTGGCCAGCCACAGGGCATCTAGTGTCTCCTATTTATAAATGGTTTTCTTCACCACCAGCCCTTGGGACGCGTTCATATTATTTAAAATATAGAGGAAATGTTTTTGTTTTTTTTTTAAATCCTCACCCGAGGATATTTTTCCTTTTTTTTTTTTTTGTACAGATAGAGTGGGAGGGAGAGAGAGAGAGAGAAACATCGACGTGAAGGGACACACCGAGTGGCTGCCACCCACACAACCGACCAGGGCTGGGGACAAACTGCAACCAAGGTACATGCCCTTAGCGGGAACCGAACCCGGGTCTCTCAGGACCGCAGGCCAACGCTCTAACCGCTGAGCCAAACCGGCCAGGGCTTTTTTCTGTTTTTGTTATTTCCTCTCTGCCTGCCAGTAGTTTCAGACTATTTTTATTCCACTGGGAACCGGGGTAAAGAGGGCTCAAGGACAGTAAGAACCAGCACAAATCAGATTACTTTGTTTGTTTGTTTGTTTTTGCACAGATTACAGATAATAACTTCAGCTTATATTTTTATAAGGCAGTCCAAGAGGAAACAAACAAACAAAAAAGGGCTCTGCGGCTCCCTCTGGCTCACCTTAGCCTACCACGGGCAGAATTCAGATGGCCGCAGAAGCTCCCTTCCTGGAAGCGCGGAGCAGGGATTTGAACTTGTGGTTACTCCGGCGTCACCTTAAGACAAATCTCTGACTGGGTGAGTGGCTGCTGGGAACTGTAGGGAAGAGGAACAAAGCATGTGCTGGCGAGAACCTGCAGCTGGACCTGAAGGCTTAGTGCAAGCCCTGGTCTTGCCACTTGCTTATGACATGACCTTGGACAAGTTACTTAACATTTAATTCTTACTACTGTGAAATGGGGATAACAGTACAGTCAATCCTCATTACTGAATTTACGAGTTTGACCACTTGCTGAAATTTATTTGTATCCCCCCAGACCATTCCTTATGGCACTTTTGGAGTCACAGAAGGGCTTATGCAAAGCAATGAAAAATTGGAGTTCCCGATGTACACTTTCTTGCTGCTCTGGTATAAACAATTGACTCTGTTTACTTCTTAGTGCTACTTTTCTTTTTCTTTCTTTCTTTCTTTTTTTTTTTAAATTTTTTGTGTTTTTTAGTGATTTTGCTGTTTAAAATGGCCCAATCCTAGTGCTCAAGTACCGTCTGGCGATCCTGAGAGCAAGAAGCTGTGATGTGCTTTATGGAGAAAACGTGTCTTAGATAAAGACCAGCCAGGCATGAGTTAGAGAGCCGCTGGCCAAGAGCTCGGTGTTAGTGAGTCAATAGTTCATGTTAAATAAGGTTTTTGAGCAGAAGACAGAGAGCAGGTTTATGTGATGACTGCTTGACGCAAAGGATGTGAACAGAGGCCGGCAGGAAGCTCAGCCAGCATTTCCCCAGAAGCCACCTGCAGTAGTCACCGATTCACCGTTGGTGGCAACATCACAGACGGTAACTACCAGGAATAATGAGAATCGACTATACTTGTTCTGCCCAACTCAAAAGATTGTTATAAAGATCAAATGAGATTCAAAATGCAAAATTGCTCTCTAAACTGTAAGCACCAAACAGTGGGAGGTGGTTTCATTTGTCTGGCAGTTGACAGCCTACAAAGTAGACGTCATCCGTGGTGTCTCGATCTCCCCACATCCTGTGATAGGGGTTTGATGTGCTCATTACTGTTAGTGTCCCTAACGTAAGGAAGTAGAGGTGCCGTCATGGTGGGAACACGAGCTCTGCGCCAGCCCCAGTAAAATGATGAGTGTGTGTCTCTCACACTCCCTGAACACTTAAGTGTGGCCCTGGCTTCCTGGGGCATCCACCTGCGTCCCATATAATGCATTTCTTCTAATCGGGCAGGATTTGTACCAAACAGCAGGACAGCACGTGGGAATCTTGCCATGTGTGTCTCCTGATGTCGCTGCTCTGAGCTTCGGCCCCGGGGAAGACACTCTGGATGGGTCTCTGCACAGAGCTGATCTCTATAGACAGTCATCCGGTGGAGGAACTGGAGGACATCCTGGCAAGTGGCTGTGGTTAGCACCCTGACGCAGGGCACACCAGCTGGGTAAGTGAACGTGTTAATTTCGCTGGTGTGCCTCAAGGTCCGCCAGTTATTACACAAAGCAGGTCATGCACCGCATTTAACTGCCTGATCTGTGAGGTGAGGCTCCAAAGTTGGTCTCCTTTGGCTGAAAATTGCTTGCAATTCAGATTTCTTATTCCCATGACCCTCAAGACTACACTCTGAAGCGAGGTCAAAAAGTATTCAAGATTTTAGGTGGGGATGCATAATTCATACTTAAAATAAAAGCTTAATAAAAGGAAAAGATGGCAGTTGCTTGAAAGGGATTGGCTAACTGTAACATCCATAAACAAATCCAGTGGTAAACCCCAAATTTAGCACAAAGCCTCTGAATGCAACCACCTAAGAGGAGTTAAGATGGGAGGGTTAAAGGAATATAATATAGGCTACTTGAGCACTTAGTCGAAAGTATGTATCTCATGCATGGATGTCATATATAGAAGCTAAAGCTCACAGAGAGAACAGCAGAGCAGGGATGCATGGAGGTATAGCTCATTTATTCTCTCAACACTTACTTATTGAATTTACTGAATTCCTTCCTAGATTTATTTATTTATTCATTCATTTCAGCATTTGAGTGCCAGATTCTGTGTTAGGCAAGAGTAAGATCAAAGCAAGTTATCTCTGGGTTTGTGAAGCTCACAGCCTAGAGGTAGAGGTAGGTCTATGGATATTAAGTATCCAGTGAAATAGTGGCTACTAGGAGGGCATGCTGCAACATGAAATATTTCAAAAAGGGGAAATAAGGCCCAGAAAGACTCCTGAAAGGGGTTAATTACTGGAGAAGAGGGTAAGAGTCTTCCAGATAGAGAGAACAGTATGTGCAAGGGGCCTGTGGTTTGAGGAGCCCAGTGAGTACGAAGGACTGTGGAGGGACCAGTGTGGCTTCAGGACAGAGAGGGGCAGGTGCCCACCCACTGTTGGAGGCAGGTAGGAGCTGGGGGTTGCAGGGCTCTCTGGGCCATGCTGGGGAGTGAACGGAGAGCATGCTCTCTCTCCTGCCTCCTTTCAAATACCTGGGAGATCGATTCTCATCCCTCGGGAGAGGAATGCAACAAGGCAGAAAGCAGAAAATGGCTGCCAAGACTCTTTCTGGCTTCAGTTTCCATAAAAATACTAGGGGGATGCAAGGGACCATGAGCTCAGGCAAAATGTTTAGAGAAATATCATGAGACAAAGAGAGGCCCCTTCCCTCCAACTAGAAAAGAATTTCTCAGGGCTCAGAGAGGAACAGAGATGAGGGAAAGGGGCAGGACGATGGGTATTAAGGGCTCTGCCGAGAGGGGTCCGAGTTCCCTGCAGAACCCAGGGGCTGGACTGAGGGGGTGCCCTGTGAAGTCCAGACAGATTGCGTCATTGACCATGTCCCAGAAAGACTGGGGAGCAGCTGAAAGAGTCTGCTGGGCCCAGCTGACCGTAGGGTACTATGTGGGTAAGATGAGGGATCACTCAGCAGTGACCTTGAAAGACCAGTGGCTGGACCAGGGGTTTAGCATCTGTTTGGATCCCACCCCACAAGCATGTGGAAGACCCCCGGACTCTAGACCCAGTTCCAGGGAAAGCAAGCAGGATCGGTGAAATCTGAAAATTCACTGGGATTCAGTGGCTGCAAATGCTGTCCCAAAGAACAGAGAGAAAAGGGGGTGGGGAAGGGGAGCTTCACATGTATGTGCTGATAAAGCCATAGAATAATTACCTCTGGGACACTAGGCAAACTGCTTGGCTGTGGGGGTCTTTGGGGAGGAGACATTCCTCGTTTGACCTTTTGTCAAAAATGTGACAGACACATGTGCAAAACTCTACCTCTAGAAAGAAAGAACTTTTGTGGTATGTATGCGGTTGTTTCTATTCATGAAGCAGATGAGAAAACTTGCAACCCAGTATTTTGACCAAGGTGACCAAGTGTCCTGCCTCTGGGAACCAGTGCTTATCACTGTAGGTACAATTTGGACCTTTTTTTCTCCCAATGTTTAATACCTTATATCTTTGTACTTATCTTGATTTTTAAGTTGTCTCATTCTTTCAGTAGAACATGTGATGCAAAGAATATTATTTAGACCGTTTCTCTAAATTCGGAGGAGATCGCTGAGTCATTCTAGATAAGAGAATGCATTTATCCCCGGTGTTGACGGGGATGTTGGTGGGCTTTCTTGGCTCGTATATAATTTCTGCTCCAATGATGATGGTAATTTCTCACTATACGTCAGAGTACACCTCAAATCTTTAGAGAGCGTTGCCTTCCCTTTTATGTTTATTCTATCTCATTTAGAAACGGAAGCTTCTATATTTATGGTACATGCTGTGTGTTTTATTTTTACAGTTTTGGGAGTTTCCAGTTAAAGTAGATCACGTGTAGGCAAACAGGTGAAGGCAAGCACCTGTAGCCCTGAGAGCAGAATCTTGTCACATCAACCTTGAAAGAAGATGCCGGAGCTTTGGAAGCACATTCTGGGAGGGACACGCTCTGGAACTGGCAGCAGTGTTGGGGTGATTCAGTAGGTGATCACTGACTGCCTCACAGGGTGCCTTATGATGAGATCAGCAGGATCTACTGCCCTTCGGTGGGGTCTCAGATGATTTTTTTTTCAAATACTCAGATAATTTTTTCTCCAAATACTTTTATCTCAGATGTAACCTCCAGAGTTCAAATTATTTGCAAGTGATCGGAAAAGTCCATGTATGTAACAACTTTTGACTGGCTGAGGTTAGGGCCCGGTGTGCCCTGAAGCCAGTGTGGAGGACCAAATCTCTTAGCTAAGGAGGGAGCGTAGCTGACATATCTAATAACAACTTCTTATTCGACAACATCTTTGAAAATGGAAACTGCTATTGAAATTTACAAAGAGAAAATCGAAATTGAAAAAGGTAGTTAAGACCTTACAGTTACTGTGTGGCCCCCCTCCTCCTCTTCCCCAGCATCCCCTCTCTTTGGTCCTTTGCTGGTGCTGGTGAGGGGTAGGGGTGCCTGGAATTGCCCTCGGGGCTTGAAGAAGGCGAGAGAAGGGAGGTTGCTGCAGCACGTACAGCCCTGTATGTCTGTTAGAAGTTTCCGGGCAGCCCCGGAGCCTGCCATCCATCACTCAGCCGCAGGGAGTGAAGTCTGCCTATGGAGGGGAGTCCTAATAACATTCTCCCTTTGCAAATATCCTGCCATAGGAACGCTTTCTTTACCATCTCACTGGAGCAACCACCTGCAAGGCAGGAAGGGACCAGAGGTGTTTTGGACTTCATTTGGCAGATAAGAAAAAGAGGATTGGAGAGGGAAGAGGCTTGCCTAAGGTCAAACAGCTTGTAAGTAGTTGGGCGGGACCTGAATCCCTGGTCTTCAGACTCCAGGGCTGGGTGGGAGAACATTCAGGAGATACGGTCATGTCTGACGTCTACAGGTAACTGACTAGTGGTACAACCTTTGTAATTCACTTCTCAACTGAAAAGGCAGAAGCCAGGGTTCTAGGGTATCCCCAAGGCTCTGCACTGTAGGAAGGGGGATTTCCACTTTTTCTGCTCAGTAACCACAGTAATTCTCAGGTACAGAAAGGAAGAATGCAGGGTGATACTTTCTGGTGAGGTTTCATTTATTTCCTATAAATAAAGATATGCTGACAAATCACTGGGGAATCAGCAAAAT